AATTTTGCTATCAAGAAAACTGTACACAGCTAGTCAATTAGTAATTCATCCACATAGTGTAAGATCTCTGTGGAGAGGATGGCATTGTGATCAACCTCTAACCTCAGGAGCAGTTAATTGGGCAGGCTGATCCACAGCAGAGCGTTCTGAAATTTGCTGCTGCTCAGGCTGGCAAGAAATTGCTATCAAAGAACCTCAATATTGGTGCTGTCAGTCTTTCTAGATATCAGTTATTGCTGTGTGCTTGGATGAAGGGGACATGTGTTGAGTGTGTTGGCAGAATCAGTGAGGAATCACAGGGTTGGGGATGTGAGGTCCCCAGGACAAGGTGAGAGATGAGAATTTGACTTTATGTTTTCAGAAGGCTGATTTATTATTTTATAATATTATATTAAAAGAATGCTATACTAAAACTATACTAAAGAAAGAAGAGGATACATCAGAAGGCTAGAACAAGAATGATGATGAAAGCTCGTGACCTGACTCAGAGATTCCAACACAGCTGATGCTGATTGGCCATTAATTAAAAACAATTCACATGTTTGGATAAACAATCTCCAGTTCACATTCCAGAGCAGCAAAACATGGAGAAGCTGAGGCTTCTCATCTTCCCAGGAGAAGAAATCCTGGTGAAGGGATTTTTCAGAAAATATCATGGTAACATGGGGGTATCTACTCTGCTGACAGTCCCTCAGCTCCCCAGCAAACATGCTGTGATGTTTGAGCAGAAATCCCATTCCTGCAGCTCCCCATGAACTGAGAGGCCAGGCTCCTTTATTCTGTTGAGTTCATGGCACTGATCTGCAGAGAAGCTGGGCATTTTTGGACTTCTGGAGCCTGGTTGTTGTTATTCTGCCTCATGGGCTGCAGCATCTGAACTCCAGACACTTGCCTTGTCTGGGTTGCCTAGGAGCCCAGCTGGCAAGCAGGGAGGGAAACAGGCTCCTTGTAAAACCTTTCTGCTGTACTGCTGCCTGGTTTCATCAATATCAAATAATCTCTCCCAGGTATTTCAGCCTTGAATTGTCAATCTTACAGACCACCAGCCTACCTGGGAATTTTGAACTGGCTTTTCACAGATAAACTTGTTTTCAAGACACTAGCTCATAAACTTAGCACAAATATAAATATCTCAGGATAACTAAAGGAAGCATGTGTCCTGTTTATGATTGGATGCAAATTTCATTTCCTACCTAGACATCCAAGAGTACTCTCATACAGAGCCTTCAAGGCCATAACTGATCTCTGGTGTGGATTTGAAGAATTGCCAATATTTTTAAAGATTCATCCTCTGACATAAATTTCAATATATATATATATTGATAGGACTGATAAGGTACTTCTGAGGACAGGAATGAGCTCTGTAGAAATTGTTTAATGTCAGTAAGTATTAAACTGTGCATTTCTTTTCCTGGTATATTCTATAGCCTATATTATTTATATTACTCTGAGCACATATATCAGAATATGTGCTCAATTTCAAATTGTTTAAATAGTTTAGCAGAAAATAATGGGGCTAGAGGGAAGAAGAAACCTGAAACTACTATATATTTTATTTCTAGAGTTAGCAGCCTCAGCACATGCTGTCTTTGATTCTTTTTTAACTGCTTCTTTGAAAAAAAAACTTCCTCACTTATTTCATGCTGCATCTTCTATTATCATTAGACTTAGTAACTGATAGAGGTTTCTTTATTGTGTTATGAAACAATTTTAATGTAGATATGCTGGGGTTTTGGAGGAAAAAAACCACTGGTCTTCATCTTGGAAAAAGCAATGACCATGTACCTCATCAAAGATAACATAAAATTTTATATCAGTGATAAGACAGGGCACAGAAGAATGCTAAATGTTCTGAATAGCAACTGCCTGCTCTTAGTCTGCTGGGAGTTAGATTTGGAGTGCTTTAGGTCTTGTGTGTTAGATTTCTGTATTTCCTCTGGCATAAATGAATCTTGTCTCTGAAATCTGAAGTCAGAGTCTGATTGTGTGGCTCACTATATAGGATGACAGGAAATCCTAGCCCAAACATAAAGGGTTTATAAAGAGCTGTTATTTAACTGTTCAATCTGAAAGACAAACTACAGAAAAAAAATGGAAAAGAATAATTTTAAGTTAGTTAAATTGTTAGGAGTAACTCTGTGTAAACTCTGACATTTGGCAAAACATGAAATCCAGCAGCCTTTATTATGTTGAATGCCAGCAGGAAGACCAGTTGGATTTGATGGTGTTAAAGGTCCTTTTCAACCTGAATTTTTCTACAATATCCAATAAAGCCAGAGGATCAGCTGAACCAGCAGCCATGTAGACAGACACTGGAATCAGTCCTCAAATCTCTCAATTTGTTTTTCTGGATAGGAGTAGGAATAAATAAGATATCTTGTGTTTCCCACTTGACTGGTTAACTGATACCAGCACTGCGTGAGGTTGTGTGGAGTTACCCAGCAGGATGGAGCAGACAGTGCAAATCCAGCTCTGCTGTTCATCTCTGCATTGATTCTTGTGCAGACACTGAGGGAACCAGGAGGTGTCCAGTCCCTGTCCTCTTCTGGTAACACCATAAAGATGACACTAATCACTGTGTCTTGTTAGAAATTCATGTTGCTTACAGGCACTTTGATAACATCATTTCAGTGGAAAATGTTCTATAGTTTGAAAATCATATGTCACAATCCTGTTTGATATCATGAGATTCTTTTCAATATAAGAAAATATTTTAATTTTATACAATTTTTGTATTATTATTTTATACTTGAATACATTTGTGATTTATAAAAATGTTTTAATTCACCTGCAGTCTTCTGTTCCTGTAAACTCTTTTGGTTACTGCCCATTGATGTAGTAATATCAATGTAACAAAATGCAACTAAGTCTCACTACTGTAATAGTGCTATTGGCCTTTCCTTTGAAAATTGCTAATTGCAGAATTACAATTTTCTCATTTATCTTTGCAAGAGAAAAAATGTTTACTACAGTTAGATAAAATGATTGACTTTTATCTGAAAGTTTTGTTTCATCTCCAATGAAAATTTTTTCTGAAAAAATTGAAAAATGAAAAATATTTTCTGCAGTCTATATCTCAATTAAGAGCAGATTTAATGCAGCTTTCCTAATTAAAAAATCCTAAACTGTTTAGTCTGGGATTTGACCAATCAGTTAAGCAGAGGAAGGTGTGTTTAAAATAGATTTATATTCTAAATGTAGACAACATAGAAATTCTGCAGTAATTTCATAATTTACAAAGAACACAATAGCAAAGAGCACACTTTTCTGAAAATTGGGAGAAATAAAAAAAATTTCTTAATACAGCCCTTTTTTTGCCATCTGCCATGTGAATTGACCTTATAATTATTTTAGAAACATTATAATAGAAAGAGTTTGACTAACTAGATTTTAAGCATATACTTTCAGACTTTTTATATCCATATAATCTGCTTTGCTGTTTTAGTTTCTTGAGACTTTGTTATAGTTACTTCTACTTTTTCTCATAATGATTAAGTAGTTTAAGCAAGATAGCCCTTAATTCACCAATTCCTTCTTGTGTTAAAGATACACACTCAGAAAATATTATTTCCTTGATTTTGTTGTTACAGGAGTGCCTGTTAAAGCTACTTTGGTCACCTTAATTATACATTTCCAGATGTTGCATTTAAAAGTTGAATTTTATTTTCAAATTTCCAGGCTCATTCTATGTTTTACAGTACCTAATTTTTTCTAATTTTTACTGGCTAAAGTTATCTCTTGGATATTCAGGGGCTTTACTGGTGAAAATGTGTGTCTGAATCTAAAATGGCTTCCATGGAAGTTAAATACCTGTGTAGTTTAATCACAGGAGCAGTGAGTGAGTGTTGGCAGGGCTTTGTGCCAGCAGCTTTCAGGTAACTTGCACTGCATGGGGAGCTTTGGATGCCATTGTGCTCACATCCCTACATCCCCATCAGTCAGGTTTTAGAGACAGAGTTTGGACTGACTCCTCTGGGAAGTATCTGTAGGGCCCTTGGTGTTTAGGCTGCCAGAAGAGTCAGTGGGGATGTGGTCAGTGCAGCCAGGGGTATCTAAAGAACAGTTTTGCTGTCTAGTCCCTTGAGCAACAAACAGAATGGCATTGAGGAAACTTTGCCTGAATGTTAGCATCTCCTGCTTATTGAGACTCCCAAGGAAATCAGAGACATCTGTACAGAGCTGGCAAGTGTGATGCATGGGAATAACCTGCAAGAGCACTGCACACTCTGCAGTGACAGGTAAGGGGCAGATGGGATATTTTTGGGCACTAGGTGCCTGTATGTGAATTGCCTCCACTGACATAATGACTCCTTCCATCAAATGTTGTGGAAATTCAGGGGCTGAGCTTGCTCACAGAGACAGACACGTGGTGTTGTGATCTCTGACTGGCTCACATCCATGGATGCCCAAATTCTGGTTTGGTTATTAGGTATGATGTCTGACAGGACAAGGGGGAATGACTTCAAAGTGAAATAGAGTGTTTAGATAGACATTAGGAAGAAATCCGTTTATTGTGAGGGTGGTAAGTCGTTGAAGCAGTTGCCCAGAGAACTTTTGGGTGACTCATCCAAGAACTATTTAAGGCCAGGTTGGATCAGGCTCTGAGAAACCTGGTCTAGTAAAAGATGTCCCAGCCCATGGCAGTGGGCATTGGAACTTGGTGATATTTAAGGTCTCTTCCATCTCAAACCATTCCATGATTCTATGATGATTCTTTTTCTTCAACTCCAATCTGTCTTTTTTCAATTTAAGTTTATTCTGTGAATGAATTCTCCTACAACCTGATCAGGTATCACAGGGTAGATGCAGATGGACTACCAAAATGTGTTACAGAAGAGGTTGAAAGCAATATGTGATTCTTTTTGGAGAACTTACTGGTCTTGTCTCCAACCCTGACAACTTAGCTATGTGCATGCCAAGACTTATTGGGAGGTGCTGTTGGTTTTGACATCCACAAATGAATGAAGTATTGCTTAAGTATTTATGTTTTTCTCTTTCAGTTATTGCAATGGATGCATGTTAGATCCAGACTGTGGTCTCTGCTACAAATTGAATAAATCAAGTGTTGTTGAGTCCTCATGCATTCCTGTTGATAAACACTCTACAATGAAAGCAGCTTGGGGCAGGTATGTCACTTGTCAAGATTTTTTAGCCTTGTGCTCTACAGAGAGTGTATTTTATGCTATTGAGAACAATTTTGCTTTTACAGAAAGTGTTAAATTCTTAAAATGTTCAGGAAAAAGAAAATAACTTGGCATTGTCAAAAATGGGTGATTACTTCCTAACAATAAATTAAAGCCTCGGCCCTGATGTGTGCAGCCCTTTTGGTGTAGTCTGTCACTTAGCAAGCATGGCAAAAATACACTAGAAGTGAGGAAAATTACCTTTCCTTAATGTTTTTCATTCATTTGAAGTGGCACATTCCCTAGTTATATACTTAAAGCCCTCTGAATTAGTTTTCTTTTAAAATGCATTAATTAAACCACACTTTTAATATTGGCCTACCAAAGAAGCAATTAGCTCAGCTGAATAAACTAAAATTAGCAAAATCTGAAAAGTTCAAATTGTCAAAAGCATGGGGTTTGGCCACAGATTTCTGTGGTTCTGTGCCTGAAAGGGGTGTCATGCCATATGTTGCACTTGGGTGTAAAAATGTGAGCATTCATAGGCACAACTGCAAAATATATCACACCTCCTTTTTATGCAGCACAAAACTTCCTGTGAAGTCACAGCAACCTTCCAAGTTTTCTGAAGTACTGACTATTCCTAAGGAAAGCTTTGTGAGGTGGAACATTGTCTTGTAGAGGCTTTATGAATACTTAAATAATGAGCAGGGCTTGGATTGGGGTTTAGAATGGTTCAGAGGCACAAGGGAATTATGTAATTACTTCTGAGAAAACCACCTCGACAGAATTCATCTCAGCCACCCACACACTATGAACATACTTAGGGAATAGGCAAAGGTTTGTGTGGTAATTTGGGCCTCTTCTTTTTTATTAACTTTCATACATATTTCTCAGAATTTAAACCAAACTGTCTCAAAGGCACTGAGTCATATTGGACAGAGGTGAAAAAGTATGAAAAAAAAGTCTACTAATTGTAGAATCATTAATATAAAATTACTCTAAAATTGCCCTCGTTTTGATTTCAGTACCATTAGGCCTAGTAATTAATTCCAAGTGCAGAAAAGAGAAGCTTATATTTTTTTGTAATCCTAATATAAAAGCACCGTGATAATTTTGGGGTTATTACAGTTAATAAATAACTGTGAAAAATACAAAATTTCATCTGACCTGCTTGTTCTGTGACTAACTTCAATGTCACATTATGGAATATACCTTGCATATTGCCTGATACCCTGATGTGATCTGCAGCATGTGGATTCTCATATTTGTAAGGTAACAGATGTCTCTTTATATTCCAAGTCAACATTCATTTCCTATATGCTGTAGTTTTAAGTAGCTTATCTGTAATTAACAGAATCACACTAGAAGGCAGAAAGACATACATGCAAACAAAAAATTGTTATGAATAGTTGATAGATAAAACTAAACTATTTCGTTAGCCAGTACTATTTTTTAGCACAGTAAATGTGGGCATAAGCAATTATTTCATATTCATGATTCAGTCTCACATAGACTCTGCTGTACAGCCTGTTGGAGCAAATTAGACAGGGGAGAATAAATATTTCCTTTTCATATTGCAAAATGCAGTCTTTCCATGTGCAAGAATTCCATACCGTGAGGACCCTGCTTAAAATCCTTCAAAAGGAAATGAAACAATTTTATATGTGTTATACTGGTAGTCACCACTGTAAAAGTCCTGCCTGAAGATGGAAAACCAGTAAAATATCCACATTTCTTTTTCTGAATATTCATCACCATTTCTAGTGTTTATTTCATTAATTTTTCTCTTGCCTCTACCTGATCCATGTAATCAGGCAGTTTTCAAAAAGCTGATCCTTCAAGCTGTGCAATGTCAGGTGGTGCCTCCTGTGCCTTCCCAGCCCTGCGGAAGAGGGAAGCATTTTGCTTTCTTCTCCTTCTGCTCCTTTTCTTCACAGATAGGTGTATTTCTGCTTACTGGCCCAGGGGAATCCCCACAGAGTTTTGTTTCCAAGGGCTCACATTCACATACCACCCCCCAGCTCCATTTGCTCAAATCCTGAGTCTGCTGTACAGCAAAATCAGTCCCACAAAGCCATAGGGTTTCCCTGTCAAGGGAAGATTGCTGCAGGGAAAACAGCACAGTTCCATCCCCAGTTGAGTCTCAGAGCAGCCAGAGGCATCTGTATCTCCCTGGCAGCATAGGGAGAACAATGCCTGAGACAAACTACAGCACTGGGGAAGGAAATTGCAGCCCTTTCTTTCACAAGGTTACTTTGTCACAGGCTAAACATACAGGGGCTATTACTTAAAAAATATACATGGCATTATGGTGATCAGAAAGTAGTATAATAATTGGAAAGATGATTTTGTGGGCTGTGGACAGCTGATAGCTGTAATTATCAGCAGCCTCTTTTGTAACTCCTGTGTGTCCTGATGGCTTCATGAATCCTGTGTTAGATGAATGAGTTTAAATGGCTTAAAACCTCCAGGGTTACCCTTGGCTCATAGAAAATCTATTTTGCCATTAATTTTGCTCAGGAGAGAAGAAATTTGTTTCTGAGCTATTTGTTTGGGACTTGTTGGACCTCAGATGTCTGAGCATTAGCAGAAGCAGCAGCTCTCATGATGTTGATGAAGGAGTTAGAGAAGCAGCTTCTCCTGGACTCGGGCTGACAGTGCCATGCAGAGCATTTTACTGCTGCTGTGATCACATCTTGTTTATGATTTTCCTGCTGGAAAGCTGGGAGCTGCAGCTATCTGAACCCCTACTCTCCTGACATTTACTCAGGGGCTTATCTATTCCTGATGTGTAACCTACCACCAAGGTGAGAGGTGCTCAGAAGCACTAACAGAGAAGACCTTGTCATGTATTTTTTAAAGCTCTCTGCAGCCATGCAGACAGACATAGAAAACTTTTGTTTATGTATTTATAGCTTTGCACTGTTCTTCACTGTTGGTCCCAAGGTACTTCAATAGCACTTATGTAGTGGGCAATGCTTTGACTCTAACTATAAAATTCTGTAATGCATATTATTTCCAAGGCATTTCCCCAGTGCCAGCCAGGTGTACTGGACACCACCTCCATTGTTAATTGCATTTATTTGGTTATGATATGTTCTACATTGAGAAGTTCTGGGGAGGGGAGGGAAGAGAACAGAGATTTCAGTCTCCTGTGGCTGCCAGCAAGGCTGTTTATGTTGCTGTGGTTGTCATAGAAACCCAGGGAGACAATTAAAGCATCCACATATTTTTCAAGAAGAATATAACGTTTGGGTTCTGTTGGATGTTGGGAGCTCAGTGGCTGGCAGTGGCCCTGGGGGAGAGAGAGAGTGCAGGAATAAATCTGACCAAGCCCAAGTCACAGCTTAAGCAGCATGGGGGGTGTGCCTGTAAGATCATGCATGTACCTCAAGCAGCAGAGATGTATTTTTATTATTTAATCAGTTACATAAGCGTGACTGGTATTATAATAACACAGGGAGGAGTGTCTTGCCCAGGGCACCAGCACAGGCAGGTGCTTTGCTGCCCTTGGTATTTCTGAACCAGTTAACAAAATAGCTGTTGACATGCAAATCTTCCTGCCTCAGGCTCTGCCCAGGGACACATAAAGGATGGTTCCAAGACAGTGAGCAAGAATATTCTTAAATTATTTACTTTGTAGTAAAAGAAGAAGAGCTGTATCTTTTCTTTCAGTGCGGTCTCACAGTTCTGCATTGGGACTCTGTTTTCCAAGATTTAGGGAAGTTCTGCAGGTAGCAGTAGCTCAGAAAGCCTTGCAGTTCTGTTCTTCATGAACACTGAATTATGAAATCCCCATGAACTTAATAAAAAGCATTAGCTCACTTGTACAGATGGGTTTGCAATGGGAGGGTTCCCGTATGAAGCTCAGGTGGCACAAGAGGGGTCATGGGCAGAGTCCCTCACTCAGCCAGGACAAAATGCAGAGGTGATTGCTTCCAGGGCTGTGCTTTCTGAACACAACCCAAAATCCAGGGGTTTTCCCCACAACTACAATTACTCCCACAGTGCTCCGAGAAATTTCTCTCTTGAAATTTCTCTTTTGTGTAATTGCAATCAATACCCCTAAAGGTCAGCCAAGAATGAAGAAACTTTAAATTGCATTACTACCCTTACAGTTGAAAGAATAACTGCAAGGGAAGGAGGTACTTACAGTGCCTTGATGTGACATTAACCTTGACATGAGTATGTTGTCAAGACGACAGCAGGCCCACAACTGAGCTGAAACGCTCTCATGAGCACTCTGAGCAATCTTCCTCTGGAGAGAACGATGTTGATTTTATACAGTAAACAATTATGAAGAAATAATAACATCATTCTCAGATCAGAGACAAGCCTAGAGCCATCCTGTCCACACAATTAGCTGGCAGGTCTCCACAGCCCCCAGAGGAGAATGATTGGGAACAGAAATCTATAAAGAGACAGGAGCTGAGTGATTTGCTGTTTTCAGCCATTTTTATTAACTTTGTTAGAGGAACATCTCTGTGCCAGGGGAGTTTAATGCTTCATGGAGAATCCTGCTTTTCTCAACATAAAGAAGCATTCCCCTCTCTAAGAGCAGCCACTGCAAAGGCAAGAGAGCAGAAGAGCTCTGGTTTTGGGAAGCTCTGTTTTCCTTTAGCCAGTGCTCTCCTGAGCATCTTCCTTCCATGTAAAATTAATGGCATGTTTACAGATGCTCAGTAATGATGTTATGTTTCACTATGAGCCTGTTGCTCATATCTGCCAGTTTGCTGAGGGGTTTAAATGTGTCTTGGAAACCTGTTTGGGGGAAAAGTGGGTTTGAACTGCCTGTGCAGTGAGAGCAAGCAGGTCAGGCAGGCAGTCAAACCCTCTTTCCCAGCTTCAGGAGTGTGCCTAATGACCTTGGCATTCAAGCCTGGATGCTAACTAGATTCCACTGGTTAGGAAAAATAAATTCATGGGAGTTCATTAGCTGGGTTCTCAGACAACAGATTGGGTTATGTCCAACAAGGGACATGCCTTGGGACATGTCTGTC